AATTTACAGAAAAAAAGTGCAGAGCATGGCATGAAATTGAAAGCAGATCAAGATGCAGCCAAAACCAATTAGAATTACCAGAACATTCTGCCAGTTGTTGAGGCTGACAGAAAGAAAGTTCTACACAGCTACAAGAGGAAAAAAACAGTAAAAAAAAAAAAAACAGCCCATAGACTAACCTAACTAAAAACTATCTATTGTTATTTGTGTGGTAATAGTTGTATAAAACTTTGTTCTTGTGTTTTTGTATTAATTCATTAAACTATAAATAATTTTTGTGAAAACTAATTGTTTATTTAAAAATTAAATGTTTTTAAAATTTGAAGATTTAAAAATTTTTTTTAATGTTTAAATTATAAAAATATATTTTTGTGTGTTGTGGGATCCATTGAAGAACCGCACAAAATTCTCAAACTTTTAGAGAACTCATAATCTTTGAAAAAATAACACAGAAATCTTAGAACCTAAACTGAATTATACCAAGTTACAATTTTTTGGCTGTATGATGCACCCTAATATGTATGAATATACTTTACCCTTATACTTTAAAATAAATATGCCTTTATTTTAATACATATTTGCTTAATTTTCACTAATCTATTGTGATTAGCAAAAAATTCTCAGGGTCTTTAGATACAATAAATAAAAAATATATGTAAAAAAAAAAAGTTTAAAGATATCTCACTCAATACAATTTTGAGTATTTCCTTTATAATCGCACTACTATCATTAATTCAAAAAAGCAAAATAAATAATATATTTAATTAAATGCTTTAACAAAATTAATATTTGAATAAACAACTTTAAGAATACTAAAATTTGTTTCCAAGCCTCTAGAAATAAGAATCTTTAAACAACTTTCATAAAAATAATTATAAAACAATCTAATTAACCAAATAAATTTATATTATTAATATAAATTTTTATAAATATTGTTTAATAATTTATTCTTTAAAAATCTGTGTAATAACTTTAGTAACTATTTGACAAATGTACATTTAGCCACTGTGGTATACATTGGAAGATGCCATGACTCACCAGTCACAAAGAAAATTATTTATATTGCTTCTGCAATACAATCATCGCACACTGGTGACCAAAGCAGCCATGTGGTCAGTTAGAAATGAAAGTGGTGATTCTAAGAACAGATTGTAGAGCTGTTAAATTTTTTTTCTAAATATCTTCACCTCTAACAAGGTTGCAAGCAACCACTATTAGAGTTAGAAGTTACTGGAAAAGAAAAGATGAAGTTTTGAAGATTGCAAATTATATGAATCAAGAAAACAAGAGGAAGGGAGAGATTCATAATGAAACTGAATAGAAACTTTTAGAGAACTTAGGAACAGTCACAGTAAAATGATGAGACTTTATATAAATCACGAGTAACACGAGAATGAATTTTAGATGGCACAAGAGACGCTAGCTCTTTAGAGCAGCGCCCATTATAGTATTTATAGAAAAGTGAAAGAAAAGCAATGTTACAATGTGACAATGGTTGAAGGTTGGCTGCAAAATCAGGTCTAACTATGTTAACAATGCAATTGAAAAATGAAATGAAAATCAGATAGGATAGATATCTAATCTTTTGATCTTTATAAAAAAACAAAAGATTAGTGTGAGAAATAAAGAACCAGAGTAATACCTAATTATAATCGATAACAGTTTCACTGTAAAAAAATTATACTTATAGTAAAATTTTATTATATATAATTTCACTATAAGTATAAATTTTTTACAGTGAAAAATCTATAATAGTTTTACTGCAAAAAAATTATATTTATAGTGAAATTATTTTATAAATAATTTTATCAAAACTGAAAAAACCTTTAATAAATGAAAACAATAGTACAAAGTTATAGTAATAAAAATAAAAATAGTAATAAAAAAGATTTTAACTTTTTTTACTACAAAAACGATTTTGTTCAAACCTGATTTCGTTCGGTTTTTTCAAAATTTTCTATAGCAATATACTTTTCTAGAGGACTTGGATTAGATATGCTGTGTGCTGTTCGTTCTTTTTTTATTGTCATGTCTTTGCTATAAAAAAAAAAGAAAACAGAAAACTATTAAATTTATTTCAATTTGTATACTAATTTTTTTGTACAAATTTTACTTTTTAATTTATAGTCATTTTTTTGAGGTCATACTGAAATCCATTTATTTATAATTACATGAATTATATAGATATTAAAACTTTATTTTGTTACAAAAAATACAATTAGTTATAAAACAGTATAACAATGATAAATAAAATATGAAAAACAATGTATGATATCATAGTTACAAAATATTTATTATTACTATATATCATGAAAACCGTTTATCGTGAAAAAAACTTTAAAAAAACAAAGGAATCTTGTGACCAAAAATATAAATGAAATAAATAAAACTTAATCCAAATAAAAACAAAAAATTTCATAATTCCATGTCTGTACAATTATATTTAAATGCATTTACCAAACAATTTTTTTTCTATTTTTAACAAAACATATTTGAAGTAACATTTTTTTTAATAACAGTAAAATAAGGAAACAAACAGATGAACAGAATCAAAAAATTGAATAGGAAAACTGTTGTAATGAACAAACTTGTCTAACAATGCTAAGAATTTAAATAAAGTAAAGCACAAATAAAAAAGAAAGATATTTAGAGTGGTAATCAATACCTATAGCTAGTTCAGATCAAAGTCAAAATGCAAGTGAAAGTTAAAAGAAAGCAAACAGTAACTATGTAAGAAGTAACAATGTAAGAAGTAACAAAGTAAGAAGTAACTATGAAAGAAGCAACTATTTAAGAAGTAACTATGTCAGAAGTAACTATGTAAGAAGTAACTATGTAAGAACTATGTAAGAAGTAACTATGAAAGAAGTAACTATGTAAGAAGTAGCTGCATATGCAGACCAAGGCTAATGGTAAAACACTCTGCTCACAATCTAGAAGGTTCAAAAAAATTAAACTTGAAGACTTTTCATTCAAATTTTTTATTGAGAAGTTTATATATTATTATTAAATTAATTTACTCAAACATATTTTAAATCATAACTTTTTCATAAATATTTTGTTGTTTACCTTTCTTATTTATTAATTTACTTTTTGTAAATTCCTTTTTCTTTTGTCAATTATTTAAACAAGAAAGTAATTTGTTATAAATATTTATTATATAACTTATATACTAATAATTTATAATAAAATATTTTATTATCAATTACTATAAAAAAAATTTATAAAACAATTTATTATATAAGTTAGAGTAAAATGGGGTCAAATGGAATAGTTAAGGATTTTAATTATTTATTTTTTACGGAAAAAAGATTTTTTTAAAATTTTCTTCTAAAGTTGTAGAGAATATTGAGCTGTATTTGAATAAATATAATAAAATAAAAAATAAATATAATAAAATAAAAAATAAGTTTTTTTTAAAACTTTATTTGATTATAAAAAAATTTACTCCATTCTACACCTACATACGGGGAAAATTAAAAAATCAAACAAATCAAAAAAATCAAACAAAATTAAAAAATCAAACAAAATCAAAAAAATTACAAAATCAAACAAATAAAAAAACTTTTTTATTCTTTAGATGATGTTCAGTTGTTTAGAGGTGCTAGAGGTTGAGTTGAGTTTTCAGTTGTGCGGCACTTTTTGGTGCAATAAAACTCAGCGCCTTTTACCTATTGCTTTGGTATGCAAGTTTGACATAGCCAAACCTTGCAATTTGAATTTTCACACTAGTACCATTCACTATTTTGACTTGCTGAAGCTTTGCTTAAAAATTTTCGACACTTTTTACACTTGAATTAGTTTGCAGCTAAAATTTTAGCTGGACTTGTTGCTTGGTTTATTTGCTGTTTGCCATTAAAGCTAACCTTACGCTGTTTTTTAGCTTGTTTTGATGTTTTTTTGCTCTCAGCATCTTTTAACCTTTTAAGTATTTCAGGTTTGTTGAGACACTCCCCTTCAAATCTTGGCACATAATTTTTTTTTTTTTTTTTTGTGTCAATGTGTTGGATACAAAACATTTGTTGCAAAGCTGCTGTGAGTAATTGGGCTGATTGCAGTTGTTTTGCAACCTCTTTTTGAATTTCCGTGAATAGCTGGAGTTACTACAATATTGAAGGTTGTTTACAGACAAGGTGACTGAAATTAACAAGAGAGTAAATAGCGTATTGCATTCATTTATTAGAACCATTTTACAAAAGCAGTAAGCAAAATTCATTAAAATTCAGTTAGAAAAATTCGTTCATTGAAATTTATACAAAAAATTTTTAGTTAGAGATTTATTGGTCACTTGAGAACTAATAAAAAAAGCCGCTTTTAGAAATAGGCAATTGCTTCGTATTTATTTATTAGCAGATTTCATTTAACCCCACAACACTTATTTTCCGATTTTAACTCATAACTTTTTTTCCTAAATAGCAAATTTAATTTTGAAAAAAGATTCTTGATCAGTGTAAAAGTTGTACCAGTAAACATTTTAAGTTCAATGATACCGAATTAAATTTTTGAAAGTTTTGAGTACCTTTTTTAAACAAATAAATAAAACCTTATTACACATTCGAAAACTTATAAATTTATAACAAAATATTTTTTATTAAAAATAAAATTTTATACAATCTTACTCAGATAAATATTCTCTACAATATAATCAAAAAATATTTGCAAAAAAATTATTCTATAGTTAATTAAGAGCGAAAGAACAAACATTGATTACCCGCTATTTCATTTTACCCTGTTTTACTCTATATAATAATAATTTTAACTTATATAATAATTTTAACTTATATAATCATGTTCAGTTCTAGGAAATATTGAAAAAGGCCACTTGGTTTTTAGTTATTTTTTTAATACAGAAAAGTTTTATAAACGAGTGAGTTTTTCGATGCAATTATAGAAAGGAGATTTTAATTAATAGGTTGATTTCTGATTGATTAATTTGTTTTAATAGCAAATTAGTCCAGGAAATTTTATTAAATTTATTTTTTAAATGAATGTGGCGTAGAAACTATACATTCTAATTAAAAAATTAGAAATAAATAAAAAAGAAATTATTTTGGATAAAAAAGTTCTTAAAAAGTTCTGCAACTGTTTGAATACAAAAATATTTGCAAGATAGCCAAAACAGCATCGAGAAAAGCTATGTAAAAAATTATGATAAAACCTGGTGATATCTGCTAAAGGAAATCCAAAGTTAGTTTACAAATATGTGTAAAGCCAATAATTCGATTAGAGCATTACATGATAAAAATAGAATTGTAACAAACGATTCAAATCAGATAATAAACCTATTTATAACAAATTCCAAATTGTATTTTTTTTTAAAAAAAGATGTTAATTTGTTCAAAAAAATAATGGCCATTTGTCTATTTGAGTCTAGAAGCAATAAAAAATTGAATATTGTTATCATCTCCTACTATCGAAACATCAACATGGATGTAAACTAATCTTATTTTCCAAAAAAACAGTACAATGATTAATATAGACATAGATATTTTTATATATATATATATATATATATATATATATATATATATATATATATATATATATATATATATATATATATATATATATATATATATATATATATATAATATATAGCATAGAGATACTTTTTCATGTAAAAGGAGAAAAAGTCAGTGTTTGCAAAACATTCTACCTAACTACACTGTCAATTTCATAAAAGCCAGTTCACCGCTCACAACACCAAAGATGTCAAAACAAATACTCCTACACAAGATCTATGAGGTAAAATCACGAAAAGCAAACCTACACCGCACAGTGAAGAAAAAAAGGATAAAAATATTACAGTTTTACTTTTCGACCTCTAAAATGTTATTTTGACTCCGCATGCAGAAATTAGTTCCCTTTTTTATCTGAGAAAGCTTAGCTTGTATAACTTGTTGTAAGCTTTTCCTAAATTGCTTTTACTTTTTGACCTCATCTTCCTTCTTTAATTTCTCAAGCATCTCAGAATCAGAAACTAAACTTATAATAATATTAACTCAACTTACTTTTTTTTTGTGGGGGGGAGGGGTAATTTGGTGGGGCTGTAATACATTTTTTAAATTTTGAGCATTTCTGTGAATTGTAGCAACATTTGATAAGTTTAACAAGCCACTGTCATCTTTCTAAAATTTTTTCAGCAAATCATTCAGTTTGATGCTGAGTACTAAAATAAAGGTGATGAAAAAGGCTTGCATGATTATGATGAAGCAAGATTTTACATGAGATGTTTGAACTTGTAATTTTGATTATTCAATTTTGCTAAAACCAAGTAAAAACAAACTTTTGAAATCTAACTTATCATTTTTGTGTGAAAATCACTAGAGCTTATATGTAAGTATCTTTGCAGATATATTAGGGTGTAAAGTAAGTTTATTCTAATTTATTAAAACTTTTCAATACCTCTAAATAGGAAACAGAGCATATTTTACACAATTCAGTTTGCTTAGGGGTATTCACTGCACGTTTGGAAAGTGTTAGATGAGTGATTTTGTGCATAATTTAATTTATATATATATATATATAAAATTTAAAAAAACAATTAGATTTGCAATATCTTTCCTGTTATGAACCATATTGTTAATTTCTATCTTAATGCCTATTGTATGATTTTATCACCCTATATTGCACCGTATATCGCACCTTATATTGCAGTTTTTATTCAATATTTTCTAAAAAGGTTGAAATATTATTTATTTCTTATGGTTTTATAATGTGTTCTTTAAGAAGATGCCTGTCTCTGCTTTTGTAGTTTCTATTAAAAAATTGACAGGGCCTGCTGCAGCGAATGCGTCTATATTAGCCAATTTTGCTGCAGCAAGCCTAGGTAATAATGTCATGATTCTTAGTAAAAAAATAAATACAATTGACTGCATTATTTGGCTTCTGCAGTAAAATTACTGAACAAGATAACCAGTTCACAACTCCCTACATTAATGCAGATAGATTGTTGGGAATTTGACATTCTACTAAATCGCTAATCAGCTAAACTAAAAATAACTGGAACAAAAGCAAATTCAAACACTATAAATACGGTTTCTATATTGCTACCATGTGATTGGAGTTTGCATACACATTTGTGAAGTTAATACACATTTGTGAGAGCTATCTCTCTAAAACTTGATTGAGTGATATTTCCTCGTTTTTTGATTTTTTAATCATAATTATTCACATTTTATTTACTTACTAAATTAGCTGTGCATATTTAAATGCATAACTGCCGTGTGAACAATTACAGTGTTATTTCCTCTGTTACAGTGTTTTTTTTTCTTCCAAAAAAATTTTCTTGGTGTTTCAATATTAACTTTTTTCCAAAACTAGCAAACTCTATTTGAAAAAGAACTTTGATTAAATTTTCAACAAGATATTTTAGTTTAGTAAAACTTTATTTTAATTTTGAGAACTTGATGTTTTTTTTTGTTTCAGTTTTTTTTTTTTTAATTTTATACTTTGTATTGTTTTTGTGAAAATTTCATGCAAAAAATATCCAAAAGGTGTTGCAACACCATTTGGATATTTTTTTATTTTAGCTTTCAATAAATGCAAAAGAAACTAGATTGCTAAAATTTTTGTTTGTTTGTTTGTTCACTCTTACTCCAGTTTACTCAATACTTTTGGCTTAAAAATTTTCTTTACCTTGTCAAATTTTGTATATCATCAGAAGTCACCTCAAAGAAATCCATTACTAAGCTACATTGTGAAATTTTCTCTGGCAAAGCAATAAGTTTCTAAAAAATAAAATGTAGCTTTGAAAAATTAAAAATTACTCTATCTATACATATATATATATATATATATATATATATATATATATATATATATATATATATATATATATATATATATATATATATATATATATATATATATATATATATATATATATATATATATATATATATATATATATATAAAAGTAATAGCGTTTGCTATTACTTTTTTTTTTCAGTTTTTGATTTCAATTTCAATAACATAAAAGTAATTAATTAAATGATATTTACCTGAAGGTATTCTGTAAGTAGATCTTTTCTTTTTAGTGCAACATTTTTCACATTACTTCTTCCAAACAAAATCTTTCCTGCAAAAAAATATTTTTGTAAGTATTTTTATTTTTAAACCTTTATAATTAGAGTGTTTGGTTGCAGTTTAACAAAAACAGTAAAATAGCTGGGTTTTTTTCATTGAAAAAAAAATCAAAAGCAGCAAAAGGCTTTTTTTTTATATATAAATTTAAATTTGACTTCTTGCAAGAGAGAAAAAAGAGAGAGAAAAAAAAAGTAGATTATTTTCCATCCAAATAAAACTGTTTACAATCTAAGCAACAGCAGTATGTATGGGCTTAAGCAACAAAGCAAAAAAATCCATTGATACAAGAGTTAGAAAAATTATGTCAGCATTGAATAAAAATAATCAAGTGCTCAAGAAAGGGATCTTGCATAAAGTGTGGACTCAAGTATGTGGGAAGACAGTGAGTATATTCACGATTTGACATCTCTCGTTTTCTATTTCTCCTAAAACTTGATAATTTTTTCAAAACAATTCAATTTTAAGAGTTTAAAAAATCAATATTATGTCATCTAACAGACAAATATTGAATTAACTAAAGTTTTTTGTATTTAATGTTTTAAAAAATTTCATGAATTTAGGAAGAGGTATTAATTTTGTAATAAATAATGTGTGCATACACAGAGTATTGCTGAAAGCATACATGGAATGCAAGGAGGAAGGGGTATTAAGTCAGTTATTTTGCTGTGTACATACTTTATTAATACCCCTAAACTCAACAACTACCTTAAATAATCACTTAAAAATCGGTAATAAAAAACAAAAAATATATTAATGACTTTATAGAGTGAAAAGCTCTTAATGAGATCTCTGGGTTGGTCTCAAGATGAATTTAAACAATGCGTATGAAAGCAACAAATCTTTTGCAAAAAGATTTTACTAAAATGCAGAAAAATTAACACAATTAAGTTGCCAAGTGAAGATAGTTCCATCAATATAGCTGTTGATAAAGCTGCTACTTTAAAAAGTCAAATATATTTTTAATATAATAAATAACTAAACATGACAAAAATTACTCTTAGTGACGTTATCAATTTTAAAATGGTTAAAACATGTCCAATTTGAGAAATTTTATTTTAAACTAAAGGATTTATTTGATAATGTTGATGTTGATAGTAAAGTTGCATAATTTTTACTGTATCTGTCCCTTCATGTTTAAAAATCTTTAAGTTCAATCTTTTTTTTGCATCAATGCTTTGAAACTTAGTCATCAATAGCCATTAAAACTAACTATTGAGAATATAGGAACAGAAGATTCAATAATGACGAGGAATATTGGAAGATTCAACAATGTCAAGGAATATGGGAAGGAAAGATTCAATAATGATGAGTGTTGATACAATATTAAAATTTATTTTTAAAAAAACTCACTTTAATGAAAATAAACTTTGCAGTTGTTGATGGATATTTTAAAAATTCAAATTAATGAACATTAAAAAACAGACATAAATTTATTAATCAGTATATTTAGATGATGTATTGATATAATTTTAATTTTATGCAAGTTAAATCAATACATTAAAAAGCATTTAATAAAGATGAATAAAAGAAATAACAATAATATAAATTTCATTAAAGAAAAAAAAACTTTAAATGAAGATAAATGAAATAAATATTTAATTTAAATTTCAATAAACATGAAAAAGCAGCAAAAACAGCTGTTAACTGCTGTTTTTTCAAAATCATAAAACAGCAAACAGCTGTTAATAATAACAACAACAACAATAATAATAATAATAATAATACTAATAACAATAATAATAATAAGCTTAGGTAAGGAGCTTGCCTCTAATATACACTTAAGCTAATTCTCCTCAAACTCCCCATTATATTTTTTTTTTTTGGTTAGAACTTATGTGGTAGTGATGTAGTGGTAGAGTGCCTGCCTTATAAGCAAGAATTTTTGAGTTCAATCCCCACTACATCCCTGGTAATACCGCACTCAACTTGTTTATTCGTGTAGCGGCCTTGTTTGTCAAGGTTCGTGTTTGAGAGCTAAAGAGTTGAGAGATGGTTTAACCACAATTATAGTAGTCTCCTCAACTGGAGTGGCCTTCTCAGCTTTGGGGAGGTGAACTAACATAAAGAAAAAAGAAAAGAGAGCCTAGGAAAACACTACACCTTTCTAAAACAAGTAACCTTGCCCGCCAGAAAAAAAAAATACCTGGCAAAAATGGTAATATTCTTTGATTTGGATTAATTTCTCCAGATTCAAGAGGGAAAGCATCAATTAAGTTAGTCTTAAAAAAAAAATCTCAAAAAGTTTCACTTGACATTTTATTATCAAACTAATACAAAAAAATAAAATAAATAACAAACAATATAAATAATATAAGCTAAAAATATAATAAAATATATAATATGATTTATATATGTCATATAATTAATAATAGACACTTAAAAAAAATTAAAATTAAAACAACAAAATTTCTTAAGATTTCTCAAAATCACAATTTAACTCTGAGAAATTTAAAGTTTATATAAAAAGGTATTAAACAGATAAAAAAATTCAATATTAAAATAAAATTTTTTCAAAAGTTTTCTAAACTTTCAAAATTTTTTGGAATAGATGCAATAAAGTATAAAAAATAATGTTAGACTTTGTAAATTTGTAAAACATCATCAACCAAACCCTCATTTTTACATTGTATACTTTGCACCACTTAACTTTCTGTTGTTGTAGCACCTAACTTTCTGTTATTATAGAGCCTAACTTTCTGTTATTATAAAAAAATTAAAACATCTTTTATTTAAAAAAAAAAAATCAATTCAAATCTTTTAAATCTGACATCAATTCTCTTCTCGCCTATTCAATCCAATTTATAATTTAGTTGTTTAACCTGTTTCTTATAAATCCAATGCAAACTATAAAGATAAAATTGCTTTTCTAATATAAACAATTAAGTATATGTATAATTGAAACTATGTTATTAAAGTTATGAATTTTTGTTAATGCTACATAAGCAATTGAATATATATATTTTTTTATATACTTTTTTGACCTAAAGTTCTTTGAAGTTCAAAGTAATAAACAAATTTTATTTGTAAATTATATGAATTCTATAATGCATGATGAGAAATTATTTATCCAAATCATGCAGAACCATGAATGTTAAACCAAAAATAAAAAAAAATATTTTAAAATATGATCTAGGCTTCTCCAACAGCCTAAAAAGGACTAAAAACTTGGCTGCAGTTTTGTTTCAATTTTTTGTTAGTCTAAAATAAAACTTGAAAAACTATTTAATCTGTTGAAGAAATCTATTCAAAGGTTGTTTTCAAAATTCTGATCGGTTTGATTTTGGTGAACAAATAATATGACAACCATTCTACTTATCCCCACCCCATTGTTCTTGTTTATTTAGATGTCTTAAAATCTAGGACTGGTCTCTATAACGCATAATAAAAGATCATTAATTTGGTGGTCAAGTATAATTTTCTATTTCTTTCTGTGATCTAAAATTGCTAATTATTTTCAATCTAAAATTGCTAATTATTTAAAAAAAAAAAAAAAAACATAATTAAATGTCGCTACTTAAAAAAGAAAACTATTTTCTAAAATTCTTTTCTTTTTTAACAACTAAATAATAAAATAAAACTAACTAATAGTTTCATAAGAGCAGTCTAATAAAAAAATTATAATCATTAAAACAAACATTTGACAAACCTGAAGGTCAAAAAACTGGCAGTAACGTCTACAAATAACTTGCTGCGTTCCATCTGACCATAGTAAATTAATGATATAAATCTGTAAAACACAAATATATATATATATATATATATATATATATATATATATATATATATATATATATATATATATATATATATATATATATATATATATATATATATATATATATATATACAGTCCAAATAGAAAAACTCATTAATAACTAATGTTGTATAAAAGATATACTATCAATAAAAACTTCAAATTTTTTATTTATAAGAGAAACATATTACATAATGCTTGCTTGGCTTTTTCTTTTTTGCGACATCTGTAATATTGACTTCCCTAATAAAATATTTTATCATTTTTGATATTTCATTTTGTTTATCTAAAATATATGTTCAAAAGGAAATAATATATATATATATATATATATATATATATATATATATATATATATATATATATATATATATATATATATATATATACTATGAATACTATGAATGTGTGTATAGATAAGCACTCTGATATAAAACTGAAATAGCTTACTGTCAGGGGCTTCAGTACACACATGAACTGTCTTATAACCTAATGCTGCAAATATCATCATTATTATCATCATCAATATATATATATATATATATATATATATATATATATATAATATATATATATATATATATATATATATATATATATATATATATATATATATATATATATATATAAATATTTATATATATATATATATATATATATATAATTCTTTGTTTTCTAGAAATTCCCAACTTAATAGTGGTTGCTTGAAGTCTTGTTGGGAGTTAAATGAAGTAAACCACAGATGTCACATTTTTCTCAATGAAATTTAGTGTTCAAAGACATCAGATATCTGTTTTTTGATAATGTATTTATATAAAAGTATTTTTTCATGACATTTTAGTCCTAATACAACACATAAATGCATTATTTTTGCTTAATATAAAAAAAAATCCATGATTTCCATTTGAAGACAAGACACTCATTTCAAACATTCTGTCATAAATTCATCAGCTCATAAACTTCCTTAACTTTTAATTTTTTAGGGCACTTATTTTGTTAAATGTAGATGGTAACTCACTATTATATTAAATTACAAATTACTTAGATATATGTGATGGGATGTCAAAGCCTCCCCTTCCTTTTCATAAAAAAATTTAAAATCAAAAAACTTATAAAAGTTTTTTAAAATTTTATTTAATTATTTTTTCTTTCCCAACTTCATTTATCAGGGTTCCCACTATTAAAACTAAGACTAAAATTAATGATTTTAAGGAGATTTAAGAAGATATTTTACTAATATTTAAGGAGATTTGGTTGCAAACCACATTATTTTCAAAGAAAAAGTAAGGAAAATTAAGGAGAAAACAATTACATTAAAAACATAATCTTATTTTTTTCAATAAATTATAAATATTAACAGATATATATATATATATATATATATATATATATATATATATATATATATATATATATATATATATATATATATATATATATATATATATATATATATATATATATATATATATATATATATATATATATATATATATATATATATATATATATATATATATATATGTAACAAAAATAGGTTTGAAAACTATAAAAAATCTATATATTATCTTCTTTATTAACAAGTATGACCCATTCACTTTAATTTATTTTTTTTAGATAAATAACAAAAAAAATAAGGAGAAATTAAGGGAAGTAGTCAAATTTTAACTTTTTTTAAGGTTATTTAAGGACATTTAAGGAGGTGTGGGAACACTGTTTATTTACTATACTGTCATTTTGAATAAAGTTTGTATAAACCAGACAAACACGCTATTGTAAACAATACATTAATAAAAATAAATGCTTATATTTAATTTCAAATAAATATCAAAGAGATTTTTTACTACAAACTATATAATTAGCAATTGATCAAATAATCTTTTGTTTACTTAGAAATTGATTAGCTTCAATAAGTCTTTAAATTTTTAACAAGAGACAACCAGAGCTATGTATGCTTGTTTTAGTTTTTCAGGCACTTTTGAATGATCTAGATATATGTAACACACATAAATGTATATATTTCTTATTTTCCCTATATAATTAAATAACTAACATACACGAATAAATTACAACTAGCTTTTAATATTTTTATTTCTCTAAGACTTAGAGTCTAGGTATATTCACTTAGACTAAGTGAACATATCTTAAATGGATAAATAACCGTAAAACTTGGCTTTGAAAAATTATCTTGTATGATGTTTATATATAATATTGTCGTTCTTCTCTGTTAAAACGTTTTCTCTGATGATGCTGGAGTGATGCATTCAAAGCATTCTTATTTTGTAACAAATTTGCAGCATTAGAATCAGAAAGTTTATTGAGTCTATTTTTTACTTTGTAAAGTCACAAAATTAGCAAGCGTCCTATTTAGGACTATTTAGGACTGTGACTAAATTACAAGGTACATCAAATAATTAAAAACAAAATAACTGAAATAACTTAAGACATTCGTGTCATTATAACTAATGAAATAACTAAAGACATTCGTGTTATTATATTGTAGGAGTTAAACAAGGGTAGGTACAATCGGCGGGGCATGGCGGATCGGCGGGGCGGATCAATTAAACAGTACAAACGGCGGGGCGGATCATTGCATCGGGTAAGATTTATAATGCAATCAGTCATATTTTATAAAATGGAAAAGAAATCTATTCAATTTTAGTTTTATTTCATTAAATGTTTAAACATCGAACATTTTTGTTACTTGCGTATTATTACTTAAATAGACCTTTTCATAAAGCATTCCGTAAAAACGAGGCAGTGTTTGTAACAATCAAAACAATTCGACGATGTTTAAAAATGGCGATATTGTCTGGGTTGCAATGTGCTTTTTATAAATGTTTTTAAAATAGCTATGATAGATAATGTAAATGGAATTAGAGTTCCAACAAATATTATATTTTTCACATTTTTAACTGTAGAAAGAAATATTTGGTGTAACTTAATAAAAAGACAAGAAAAGAAAGATAATTTAAAAACAACAAATCTACTTGATTATGTCAAAAGCATTTCTTACAAGAAATGGTCCATAAAACCCCATTTAGTACACAAATAAAACTTATAAAAGTTTTTAGGACAATATTGCACTCATGAAATAAATTTTCAGTGTCAGATACATCCATAAAACCACAAAGTTTCAGACAATGTTTGTTTAAAAATGTCGATGACGATTAGTCTGCATCAGCACAATTTTCATCGGCACAAAATTTAGTAGTAGATATCTCTTTATCGACATTATTGTCAGCGCCACTAGAGGAAGTAGACTTTAAAGTAAATGTTGCTGAAGGTAAATTAGTAGATTCATTTATCCAGTATAGTTTATACTGGATTTCCATCAATAACCAAGCTGTTTAAGCATTTTTAGATCCTGGAAAAAAATGGAAAAAACAATTTTTTATAACAACCAATAAACAAAAACACTTCATCTACCGGACGACCAAGAGTATTAAAGCCGCTTGATGCATAAATATATTTATTTATTTTACCATTGACTTGTTTATACGGGAACTTTGATCTTTGTTTTTATTTATTTTTATACAATATTTCAGAAGGAACAGTTTCAAATACTGTAAATACATGGATATATTTTATGTATAAGACATCTGCATATGGCCTTGTATGGAGTGAGTTAGGAAGAAAATTTCCTAATAAATGCAGGAAAAGCTCCCTACTGTAAAATGTATCATTGATTATGTAGAGTACAAAGTTAATAAACTATCTTAATTATTTATGCACAAAATTATGTAATTAGGTAATAAAAATCATACAATAGTTAAAGTTTTAGTAGGAAATACACCCGGGGGAGGATTTATGTTTATTACGTTAATCAAGGTAAAACTGACTGTGGCTTTACAATAGCAGAATACTATAGACCATTTAGTGTTAATATTGTTTTACCATTATTTGGTTAAGGGTAGAGAAAAACTTACTATTGAACAAAACAGTTTTAAGTCAACAAATTGCAAACTAAAGAATCCTTGTGGAGAGAATATAATAATATAGAATTTTATAAAATTCAAATATTATAAAGGCCAAATATTATAGTTGGTACATGGTGAAAATAGTATATATACTAAATATATATATAAAAAAATATGATTTGTCAGATCATTGTATAAATTTTAGCAAATTATTTTAGCAAGTAAAATAGTGCTGATATGTAAAGTAAAGAGAAGAAACATAAAGGTGTTGCATTCTACCTGTATCTTTGGAGCTATTTTGTGAAGAATTTAGAAAACAAAGAGAAAAAGACAAAAATACAAAAAAATGCAATAAATAAAAAATTTAATTAAAAAAAATAATAATTTATTAATCAAGAAATAACTCCTGATGTTGAAAGTTTTAAATATTCAAGTTGATTTTTATTTAGTAAAAATTAAAACAAAAAATCTATTAAAAAAAATTACATAACTGTCAATTAAAAAAAAGAAAAGAATCCAGAAATGGAGAGCTAATCTTAGGCAACAACATAAAAATTTACAAACGGAGTGCAAAGTCCTATGGCTTACCTTCTCGTTGGTGCACTTCGTTAAATAAGTTATACAAGTAGTAAATGTCTAATTAATGAACAGAATAGCCAAGGCAACATTTTTATTAGTTTTATTTAAGATGAGTAATTGAGACCAATGCTAAGTAAGTAATAAAATAATACCTTCAAATTTTGTTGCTTGATTTATAAAATCTTTATTCATCACTGCATCACTTAGTTTATGATTCAAAAGATAAACATCTGGCAGACGTTAAACTTTTAAAATCATTTCTAAAAGTGCAGTTTAGCTTGTACTTTCTTGACTATCACATAGCATCATTAAATAGAATATATAGTAATTAAAAAATAAATTTTAAAAACTATTTTTAAAAAATTACATATCTGCCTATTTAGAAAAGGAAAGAATCCAGAAATAGAGGGCTAACCTAAGTCTACAATACTTTACTCTTTTAAGGCTACAATACTAATACTTACTGTGTGTGTGTGTCTATATATATATATATATATATATATATATATATATATATATATATATATATATATATATATATATATATATATATATATATATATATATATATATATATATACACACACAGTAAGTATTAGTATTATAACCTTAAATAGTAAAGTATTAGTATATATATATATATATATATATATATATATATATATATATATATATATATATATATATATATATATATATATATATATATATACACAGTAAGTTTTAGTATTATAGCCTTAAAAGGTAGACTTAGGTTAGCCCTCTATTTCTGGATACTTTCCTTTTCTAAGTAGGCAGTTATGTAATTTTTTTAAAATAGTTTTTAATCAGTTTCTAATATATATATATATATATATATATATATATATATATATATATATATATATATATATATATATATATATATATATATATATATATATATAATATATTATATATATATAATAATTTAAAGTTTAAACCCTACGAAATTATATGTAAACGCAAAGTTTGTTTTGATTGTTACAAACACTGCCTCGCTTTGAAGAATCTCCTTTCTCCGTCGCAGATATTTATGAAAAGGTCTATAAATAACAAAAATGTTTTTTAATATTTTATCTACAGGAAATACAAAAACTGATTGCCTCAGTTTCATAGGTAAGAAGTTTCTGGTTTAATGTTTCAAAGTCTAAATTACATATATTTTAAAAATAGGTCCGTAAAAAAACAAATTTATGTTTTATAGAGTCATTTTCTTATATAAAAACAACGTGATCTGGCAACTTATAGTAAATGAACCGGCAAAATTTCATGAAGTAATCCGCCTAACATTTTGATTGCTTACAAATACTGTTTATAGTTTAAAATAAATTCAATATTGAATAACAACTTTACATGTTTCAAATTGATTTTCCTACCATAAAACAACGTGATCCGCCAATATATATCAAGTGATCCGCCAAGTTATATCAATTGTTCCGCCAACTTATAGTAAATGATCCGCCAAGTTTCATGATGTGATCCGCCTAACATTTTGATTGCTTACAAATACTGTTTATAGTTTAAAATAAATTCAATATTGAATAACAACTTTACATGTTTCAAATTGATTTTCCTACTATAAAACAACGTGATCCGCGAATATATATCAAGTGATCCGCCAAGTTGTATTAATTGTTCCGCCAACTTATAGTAAATGATCCGCCAAGTTTCATGATGTGATCCGCCTAACATTTTGATTGCTTACAAATACTGTTTATAGTTTAAAATAAATTCAATATTAAATAACAACTTTATAAGTTTCAAAGTGAATTTTTTATTAAAAAACAACATGATCCGCCAATATATATATCTAGTGATCCGCCAATATATATAAAGTGATCCGCCAACTTATAATTAATGATCCTCCAAATTTCATGATGTGATCCGCCTAACATTTTGATTGCTTACAAATACTGTTTTTAGTTTAAAACAAATTCAATATTGAATAACAACTTTACATGTTTCAAATTGATTTTCCTACTAAAAAACAACGTGATCCGCCAATATATATCAAGTGATCCGCCAACTTATAGTTAATGATCCGCGAAATTTCATGAAATGATCCGCCTAACATTTTGATTGCTTACAAATACTGCTTATAGTTTAAAATAAATTCAATATTGAATAACAACTTTACATGTTTAAATTAATTTTCCTACTATAAAACAACGTGATCCGCCAATATATATCAACTGATCCGCCAAGTTATATCAATTGTTCCGCCAACTTATAGTAAATGATCCGCCAAGTTTCATGAAGTGATTCGCCTAACATTTTGATTGGTTACAAATACTGTTTATAGTTTAAAATAAATTCAATATTGAATAACAACTTTACATGTTTCAAATTGATTTTCCTACTATAAAACAACGTGATCCACCAATATATATCAAGTGATCCGCCAACTTATAGTTAATGATCCGCCAAATTTCATGAAGTGATCCGCCTTACATTTTGATTGCTTACACTGCAAAAAATATAACGCTAACATAACGGTTACATAACGGTAAATGAAAAATTTGGCGTTATGTTTACCGTTATGTTAGTTCTACCCGCATTATTATAAATTGTCCTACCCGCATGTTACAATTCTGTATTTTAATTATTTTACACATAAAATATACCGCCTATGTTGTTTATGTTTTTTACCTTATTATATGATCTATCAATAAGCCAAATTGTTATATTATTATTCGTTTGACGCTTACAGTTTATAATTCGTTTATATATACACCAGAAAATTACTAGAGGGCTTTTGTTTATACCCCTTACACAAAATGCTTAGACATATTTACACGAGGATACTAAACAAATGATTTACACACTTAACTGCTATTTTAGGATGAACATGCTATAGAGATATTCCTTCGCCAAGCCACGGAGCAAGTCTTGATAGGGAACGATACATCGTTTACAAAGAAATGAATGGAATATGCTTCCATCCTATGAATACCTGGCCACTATCCATACAAATAATATTCTGGAACATAACTATAACTGACACCGAAACATTCAAATTGACACTTTTTTTCATTGGTAACGGATGCTCTCCATACTTAATTTTCAAATTCCTTATTCTCGGCTTTAGAAAAAACCGCGCAAAATATAAAAAAAGAATATACCAACTGCTGTGGCTAGCTAGAAACATTGAAAACCACTCACATAGATGGTTTTATTTTGACATTTATCTCAATTCTATGAGGTATTTAAACATGGACCCTTGTCCATGTGAAGGGAAAAACCTTGAGGATAAACAAAATGATTTATCCATATTTTATTTAGAATAAAAATAAAATATCACAATGAATGCATTTTATATCTTACATAATACATACTAACTACACAAGGACTACACCGATCAAACTTTGCTATACACTTTTTACATATGGTACGCCACAAAACAAGACAAAAATAAATTAAGTTTAGCTTGCGTTCTTTACAAGACAGATCCATCTGCTTATCACTTTTACCATCCTTTAGGTGGTAGATTAGCCACTTTATTTATTTCCTTTTAATTTTTATTTTTTTTCTATTACCTTTTAGTCACTCTAATAGCTTATTCTATGTATTTCGGTACTTTTTGTATTCGACTACCATATTGTTAGATTTTTTTGATCCTAAGAAAATTTATCTGACGTCGATAAGCCAGTTTGTTTTAGTTTTGCACTATACAGTCTTCAATAGCGTTCTTATGGTTATTATGTAAACAATCTTTGTTTTTCAACTCGATTTTTTAAGTCCGCTAGATACTCTTTGATCGATTACGCGTTTATGACCTGTATCGGTTCACTCTCATATAGTATTTTACATATTAAATTATTATTCATTTCTGGTGTATCCACTAATTATATTGTGTGTTAGCTGGCTATCTTGAGTTTCAATTTATTTATTTATTACTATCTAATACTATTTTCAGTTAGGAATTATCTCCATCTATCAGGTGAGATTTATATTCTCTGAACAAATTGTCTTACTAAACTCCACACCACATTTGTATACCTTTACCACATATTATTTTTATCCTAGTTTAAATCGTTACGAGTCGTGATTTCCTGGATTGTGAATATACATATATATATATATATATATATATATATATATATATATATATATATATATATATATATATATATATATATATATATATATATATATATATAAACAGATATATATTAGGCATTACTTTATTAAAAAATGGTAAGTCACTTTGTAGTATTATGTGCTATCTGCTGCTTATTATTTATTTTGTTGTCATTGTCACTATTCTATATGCTCTATTGTCACTATTTTGTATAGATATGTTCATGTGTATGTATGTATGTATGTATGTATGTATGTATGTATGTATGTATGTATGTATGTATGTATGTATGTATGTATGTATGTATGTATGTATGTATGTATGTATGTATGTATGTATGTACGTATGTATGTATGTATGTATGTATATATGTATGTATTTATGTATGAGGGATATGTGTTTATTTATTTATTTTTTTTTATTATTTTTTTTTTTTATATTGTGAGTGCGTGTATTTACACACATATTTACAGCTGTACCACGCGCATTCCTCACCACCCTCACGAGATCTCTAAGAATGTTGGAGCTGTTTTCAAGAACTGGGATAGGGATTGGTTTTTTGGCTTTTGTAGTGTAGTCCTATTATATTGCAATATTGACTAGCATGACGTAGAGTGCAGGCGGTGAGATCTGTTGCAAGGACACGCCCCTGACGAGTGGCGTTAGTGCAGGTCTCGGGCTCTCCGAAACGTCATTGGTGATCGCAGTGCATTCCTGAGGAGGGGGATCACCATTTATCCACTACTTAATTCTAATTGGTTATTATGGCACCAACATTTTTTTACCTCTTAAACCCATGTATTTTTGCGCTTAATGAGCTTTTTATTATGAATTTGTTACATTTACGACATTTATATATTTTTTTATGTTACACAGGTGATTATCAATTATCAATTTTTATCTAGAGTTTAGAACATATATAGTACCACATTTATTAGACATTTGTATGGTGCGATTATTTTAGTTATGAATACCATTATAAACCAGCGGATTTTTATTGACTTGTTTACTCATAGATCATTATTTCATCATTTGTTTAAAGACGACTAGAGTGTGAGTTTTTATTCCCCTTTTCCTGAGTTGCTTACTTTTACTCTTCCAACTAAATAGTCTTTGCATTAATTTATGTTTTTTTACCTATATGACATCATCTTCAATCTGTTTTTATTTTCACATCTCCCAGGTCTACGTAACTGGACGGCTCCGTTGGTCACTTTTTGCGAT